GGACTTAGGTCACCATGACAGGGATTTATGACTTCTTATCCAGCTCCCAGACTAAGCCAGCTCATAGACCTGGAACCCCATGCATGAGGAGGGAGGCTGGGTCCATTTGAGAAGTACCCTGCAGTGTAACCACAGGTGTGACAGTGAATCTTCCTTGACACCAGAGCGAGTAGGGGGCGTTGATCTGCAGGAGCTGGGCACTGGTCAAGGGGAAATAAACATTCAGACCTTGTGGGGGTTATTTGGATGGTGCCTCATGATCCCCACCATAAACCAGGTAAGACCTCAGATAGACGTTTTTTTTTTTTTAAATTGGGGAATTGGGGGAGGGGACAGCATTGGAGAATCGAAGAAGGGGAACAGATAAGTTGCTGTCCTTTTGTTCTTCAGTCTAGTTATGGAGGACGTCACTTCATGGCCCATGTTGGTATTGTGATCATTGCGCTCTACCCGGCTGAGGCAGTCGCTCACCAGCCATTGGACGGCTGTTCAGAGGCTCACGGCAGCTCAAATCGGCTGCTCATGCTGGCTGCTGGCCACTCACGGTAGCTCACGGCAGCCCCACTGCAACCCCACTGCAGCCTACGCCGTGCTGGCGACTCAAAGCAGCTCAGCTCCAGGTCGAGCTATTGTTTACCATCTTAGCTGTAGAGGGTGCAGCATCATTGGCCCATGTGGGATTTGAACTGGTGGCCCTGCTGCTCAGAGCTTGTATTCCCAAGCCAACTCTTAACCAACGAGCCATTCGGCTGGCCCTCAGATGGACTTTTGGTCAGCTCCCTTTCCCAGTGGCCCACAGACTCATCTTCTAGGTGTTTATGTACATCCCAGATTGTGTACTAGGAATAGCTTCTTATTACATAGGTTCTTTGACTCATGGAGTGAGGGCTATCATGGAAGGAAAGGCCAAATGATGCTCTCGATACCATCCCCACCCCCACCAAGTTAGTAAATCGGAAGCAGTAACAGAGCATTGGGGGAATTTCTGATTAGTGTTAACACCAAGGCTTGAGAGATGCTGGGGGTCTAGGTTGCTGCCACGTCTCCATTTACTGTGCTTCTTTGGTTGCTGCAAAAACAGAAGGGTCTGGGGCCGGCCGAGTGGCGCGATGGTTAAGAACTGGCTTGGGACGCCAGAGGGCCCCGGTTCGGATCCCACATATGAGGGCCAGTGACACTGC